CCCCCCCGCCCACGCATACGTACACAGATACTCACATCTCCCATCCCCCCTCTAAACCCTCTTTATCAGAACTAATGCTATTTTGAACCAACGCTTTAACTAATTCATCTCCTTTGATCTATCTATCTATCTATAATTCTAACTATTTATCTATCTATCTATATTTTTATCTATCTATCTATCTATATCTTTATCTATCTATCTATATTTCAAACTATTCATCTATCTATCTATATATCTACCTGGAAAGAATCTCAAGCAAAGTTCTAATTTCTATTTCTCGGCCAGAATCCTTTCTCCCTCCGAGCAGGTTTAATCTAAAAAGGTTTATTAAAGGGACTGTAAAGTATTTAAAGGTTTAATCTAAAAAGGTTTATTAAAGGGACTGTAAAGTATTTATAAGTCGCCCTCTATTTAAAGAGCTGAATGCCCAATACTTTCAAAGTTTTGTCTGAGCAAAAAGGATCAAGAAATTTTTTTCAAGAAAAAACTTATATTTTTCAATCACGTTTGTTTAATCTGTTTTGATGACTTTTGCGTCAGAGAAAAGCAATATAATTGATTGAATAAAACACAATAAAAAACGAGGATATCCTCCTCATCAGTGCTCAGGGAAAAATGTAAAGGGTGCTGTTGTAAAACGGTCGTTTCATATTTTGTTGATTGTCCCTTTAACTGTAGAATACGATGAGTTTAAAGTGTTCTTTTTCTGATAGAGCATAATGGACCACTGTTCTACACTATACCTAGTGTATACTATTATAGATGTTAAATCCCAAGGTTTGGACCACTGTGCTATACTATACCTAGTGTATAATATTTATGCTAAATCCCAAGGCATGGACCACTGCACTATACTAAACCTAGTGTATAATATTAATGATGTTAAATCCCAAGGTATGGACCACTGCACTATACTATACCTAGTGTTTAATATTAATGTTAAATCCCAAGGTATGGACAACTGTGCTATACTATACCTAGTGTATAATATTAATGTTAAATCCCAAGGTATGGACCACTGTGCTATACTATACCAAGTGTATAATATTAATGATGTTAAATCCCAAGGTATGGACCACTGTGCTACACTATACCTAGTGTATAATATTGATGTTAAATCACAAGGTATGGACCACTGCACTAAACTATACCTAGTGTATAATATTGATGTTAAATCCCAAGGTATGGACCACTGTGCTATACTATACTTAGTGTATAATATTTATGCTAAATCCCAAGGTATGGACCACTGTGCTACACTATACCTGGTGTATAATATTGATGTTAAATCCCAAGGTATAGACCACTGTGCTAAACTATACCTAGTGTATAATATTAATGTTAAATCCCAAGGTATAGACCACTGTGCTAAACTATACCTAGTGTATAATATTGATGATAAATCCCAAGGTATAGACCACTGTGCTAAACTATACCTGGTTTATAATATTGATGTTAAATCCCAAGGTATGGACCACTGTGCTAAACTATACCTGGTGTATAATATTGATGTTAAATCCCAAGGTATGGACCACTGTGCAAGATGAAGAAGAAACAAATCCTTCCAGCTCTCCTTGAGTAATGTGACCTGAAAAGTTAGTAAAGTTCAGTTTAATGTGTGATCAAAAGTTTAACCCTATCCTTGCTGGGAAACTTCAATTCTGGGGTGGGGGGATTGTAAGTTAGTTACTCTCCTAATCCGCTCTTTATTGCGCAAATATGAAATTGATGCATGTTAAACAAGCTAAACAAAAAAAAAAGCCAAATAAAATCATTACAGCTGTCTCGTCTATGTATATGTATGTACTTTACTGTCTGTTTGTTTGTAACTAATAAAGTCACATGACCAGAGGGAAGGTTTATGGATGCTCAGTCAAATCTAAAGGGTTTCAGGTCGTTATTAAAGTAACCGTGCAGGAATAGCATTTTCTTGTTTGAGTTTCTTGTTTCCATACTGGCATACCTGATCTTCTTGTGTTAGGGTTTGGAAGGGGGTGAGGCATCTCGCCCATCGAACCGCCATAAAAAGAAGACGAGCCGCTGTTTCCTGAAACGGAGAAAAACTTTGACCAGACAAAACTTTTAAGGTTTACACCAGAGTGAATCGGACATTGCCGTATGGTCCCTTGAAATTACGTTTACAGTCCCTTTAAACTATATATTTCAGAGTAATATGAATAAGAGAGAATAGATATTTTCCACCCGATTTGAATTTATTATCCCTTGAACTGAATCTGTAGATTTCTTGAATAAATATTTAAATTTTACAGCACTGTGTCATATTTATTCCGGTTGAGTCCCTGGATGTACAACAACAAAAAGATTGACATCTTTAGGTTAAGTTTAGAAAATTGATCAGAGCTGAAAACTTTAGAATGGTGGATATTGAGATTAATGCTTGATCCTTTCTTTTTCTTAATATCGAGACTAATTTAATCTTGTATCCTTAAAAGTGTATAAAATTCAACCAATCAGACTCGCGTGTATGAAGCCGATAAATTTAAAAATTTTCGTGCCATTTAAGATTATAAACAGAAACGGGAGGGACTCTCTAATTTAGAAAAACCGGTTTTTGAGTTTTCTCTACTATATCCAAGAAAGAACGGTTTAAGAAGAAAATCAAAAGTGTTACCATCATGGATACTCAGATTAAGTAATTGGGATCAAGAATATTTCATTCCAAAGTTTTCAGCTCAGTTCATATTCTATTTACAAAATCACAAAAAAAAATTGGATTTTTTGTCCTAACCCAAAGCTTTGTTTTGTTTTAAAATTTTTGAATTGAGAAAACTTCAAAAAGTTGAATTAGCTGTACATTATTATAGCACGTGTGCTATAAAGTTTTGATTGGTTCCCGGATTTTCTCCAAAACAATTAGGATATTTCCAAAATATGTTTTTTCATTTGAAATGAAAATAGAATTGAAATCAACTTCATATTTTGACTTCTGCTTTGTTTCAAAGTTTATTTGATCTTAAAATAGCATGCACAGACGTTTAATAAAATTACCTATAACACTATTATTTTGGCACGACGTGCTATAAAGTTTTTGGACTTAAATTTTCTCTATATCTCGAAGGTGCTCGCCTTTTTAGATTATATTTTGTCCCTCGGAACAAAATTAAATCTAAAAAGGCTGTAAAATAAGGCATAACATTATGTAAAGGCACTCATTTGAAGTACTATTAGGTTCAACATAAACTTTCTTAATCTTAATCTGCTGTTGTGTTGGTACAGTACTTTAGTCAAGGTTGTTAATTAAGGTTGCTTACATGCCGTTTATATTCATTACGACATAAACTTTCTTAATCTTAATCTACTTAAGTGTTGGTACAGTACTTTAGTCAAGGTTGTTTATTAAGGTTGCTTACTTGCCGTTTATATTCACTACTACATAAACTTTCTAAATCTGCTTAAGTGTTGGTATAGTACTTTAGTCAAGGTTGTTAATTAAGGTTGCTTACTCTCGATGCGCTCCTATATATTTGGAAAATGTCGTCTCCAAGGTAATTGATAGTAAAATAACTTTGGAGATTGTTTACAATTGTTGTCATTGTTTTGATAAAACTTGGTTCTCTCAATCCAATTATGTCATAATTACACTTTTCTCTACTGTACTACAACTGTAGCATAGCATACATATCCTGACGNTTTCGTCCGACCACAAATGACGTCACAATTATTTCGTCCGACAATTTCGTCTGGCATTGTATAAATCCTTCTTAAAAGTACTTTCCATTATTTTTTTACGAATTTTGAGTTACGTCATGTCGTTTATAATGGCTTAGATATTTTATCCTGTTTTTTTCAAAGAAGAACATCTTATGAAGGTAAAATAGGCATAAAAACAATCCATGGACATTTTTATTCCATAATACCTTGAGCAAATCAAAACCACTTGCTATCATCCTTACCACAAATATGTAAATTTTATTTTTAAAATTCCAGCGACTATCACCTAAAAGTTGCAGTTTATGAGTAAAATACGAAAATAACAGAAAAAGTGTTTGATCCGAACGAGAAACAGGTGTGGTCTGGACGAAAAATAGGTATTTTCCGTTTTGTGCTGAATTGGGCTTGAATATCGTTTTATTTTTGAAACAAAATGCACCTTAAACAAAATCAAATCATATTGAATAACATGACGTTGCCTGAATTAAAAAAACACCTGAAAACGCTGAAGCAGTGCAAAGACGAAAAAAGGTGTGGCCGGAAGAAATAAATGCAAATTGTGACGTCATTTGTGGTACGGACGAAAAACTTATGCGGTGTGCCTTCCCCCGCTCCCCTGACGTAATGCATCTTCTAATCAGAATACTTGATCATAAGTTTACCTGTAGGGTCTCCCATGAAGCCGGGAAAGGATGCGCCGAAGGGGCGGAGAGAGGAGCAGGCGGAGAAGCAAGATGAGAGGTCGGAGCGGACAGATGGGAGGAGAACAACGGCGGTGGGGAAGAGAGTGCAAACGAGGACGACAAATCAGAGAATTTCGGCCAGATTGGCCGATTTTTGTCAAGGGTGGCGAGGGTTGATCTAAGAGAAGATTGTGTGAAGGAGAATGTTGGTATGTTAGGAGGGGAGGAGGGGGAACAGTTGAGGTTTAAGCTGGAAAATAAACCCTGGAATTTGCAAACATGAGTAGCAGAACAACTTGCAAGATATCTGATCAAACAGTGATAATGATTGCATGAAATGAGGGAGGGAGGGTTATACCACCGTAAGCCTCACAGATAGGGGGGAATACTATTCCGTGCCCCTTAGATTCTACTCCCCAACCTAATTTTAAATTACCCTTAAACTAAAGTGTGATATGCCAGCTTTATTGCAATACCCTTCAACCCTTTATGTAATTAAAGAGCAAGAAGATGTCATTGGTTTTCTGTTTCAAAAAGATTTATATTTCTTTGAATTTTCTTCCTGTCTCTGTTGCTTTTATCTCAAAGTCAATTGTATTAAAGGGAGGATTCGCTAAAAATTAAAGGGGGTATAGGCTTACAACGAACAAGTATCGATGGTGATCGCTACTAATCTTACTTCTATCTGTTGCGTCTATAAGAAAGTAGCATCCACACAAATTCAGAAAGTTGCAATATTCGACTTGGATCATAAAAAATCAATTTAATTCCAAACAAATTATTCAGATATTACAACTTATAATCATCAATAATTTAAACTGGAATAGATGTTTTTAAAAGTAGCTATCAGATCATAAAAAATGAAAAATATTATGAAATATCAACTATATACGAATGCGTCGATAAATTATTTGATGATTATAGGTTGTAATATCTGAATGATTTGTTTGGAACTAAATTGATTCCCAGTGAATATTGCAACTTTCTGAATTTGTATGGACGCTACGTTCTTTGGTATGAGTCGTTTTTAACAATTTTCTCCTTATAGACGCAACAGATAGAAGTAAGATTAGACCATCGATAATTTTTCGCCTATAAGTCTATACCCCCTGTAATTTTTCGCGAACACCCAATTTAACATTAATTGAAAGTAATCAATTTTAGAGAAAATAACAAAAGTTGAAAGGTTATTATTATTAAGTAGACTTAAAGCTCCTTTAGTGGAGGGGAACTAAATATTGTGTCTCATTTATTTCACTGTTTAGAATTTGTAATTAAACTCATGTTTCCCTGAGGTGTGGGTAGAAGAAGAGGGGTTGGTTTAGAGGGGAACTTAATAAAATATTTTCACTGTTTAGAATTTGTAATTAAACTCATGTTTCCCTGAGGTGTGGGTAGAAGAAGAGGGGTTGGTTTAGAGGGGAACTTAATAAAATATAATAATAATGTAATTAAACTCATGTTTCCCTGAGGTGTGGGTAGAAAAATAGGGGTTGGTTTGGAGGGGAACTTAATAAAATATAATAATAATGTAATAAAACTCATGTTTCCCTGAGGTGTGGGTAGAAGAAGAGGGGTTGGTTTGGAAATGTTTCCGAAGAAGTTTGAAGGATGATGATGATGATGGTGGTGGTGAAATCCTTCCTTAGAGATTTTTGGTTTCCTTGGTCCACGCTCATGTTGTACAGCTAAAAACAAAATCCTTTTTTATAAATTGTGGGAAATGTTTTACAAAACGCGATACAAAAATTTCAAAAGACCTATTTTAATCGCATATAGCGTACGTTTTTTTTATAGTTTTTACTTACAACTTAAAAGTTATTTTCGTTTGTTTATTACATTTTTTGGTAATTCTTAACACTCTGCATTTTGTGACAGAACGTTGCTCATTGTGCACTCTTCTTTCCACAACAACAATTGATTAAATTAATTTAATTATGATTTCTTCTTCAAAACTTGACCTACCATCTTTATTCATGCTGGAATCAAAACATTTCTTGAGTCTGCAGGCTCTGCACTGATTCCTGTGAGTTTTATCGATCGGACATCTTCCTTTGAGATCAGCTGCTGCTTTGCACGTGTACACGCGGTTCCGGTGAATTGAACGCTTGAAGAAACCGGAACAACCTGCACAGAGCTAGAAGTCAACTAGTTATTTTGGGCAATATTATAATGATAATTGTTATGTGTATAAGGAAGACATTTTGAAAAATGCATCGACTCAGAATTTCTTCTGGAATTTTTGGCATGGCTTAAGTCTTCCTTCTCATATTTGACATTTTAACTTCGGTTTTCAGGATCTTATATTTGGAAATTTATTATTGTTATTACTATCTTTATTATTATTATTATTACCATCGCAGCTGTATATTCCATAATGTTTTCCTGAACTCCTATCCCCACAAACTTTACAGGGAATATCCAGAAGTCTATCCCCTCCACCTCCTAGTTTCCTACTGAACCAACCAGGGTTAAATAATTCATTCAGATTGATGTTATTTGAATAAAAGAAGGGGATGCCGAATTTGTAAAAGTAGCAAACATTTTTATGAGCAAACGTTTTTAAGATATTCTTGGTGTATTTTTATCGGGAATTTGATCATTTCTCTGTATAAGTGACTTGGGAATCAATCGCCAGCAAAAAAGAAGTAAATTGTGAAAATGTAACTGTTTTCTAGCAGAAAAACTACGTTATAATTTCCTATGTGTAAAGGATAAAAAATGCTGGGAAGAAAATACTGATTGGAAAAAAATAGTTATAAAAGTCGCTGAAACACAACTTTTCAAGCATCTGTAGGGGGGGGGGGTGCATTCAACGCTGGTTTAAATCAAACCACACAAATCTACTTCGCGACAAGTTCACAGTTACACAGTACAATCTTAAATAAATTTAACAGATTTTGATTACAAATTAGTGTGGTATGCTTTCCCCCTCATTGTAGTTATATACTTAGGTTACTGCAGATTTGTATAATTGAGAGGGGGTCTCACTGTAGCTAAATTTAATACTGCTGGTTCCTTCGGCGTGCGCTCCAATCATCATGTTGGGAAAGAGTTGTTTTAAACTTCTTCAACTTGTCATCTGCCTCATCCTGTTTGTAATTATATTTAAAGATGTTTCAAAATTTAGAGTATTAACCCGTATATCTGTCCTATATACAGTATATACCTGTATATCTGTCCTATATACAGTATATACCTGTATATCTGTCCTATTACAGTATATACCTGTATATCTGTGCTATGAACATTTTATGCCCGTATATCTGTCCTATGTACATTATATCCCTCCTCGTAGTAGGTGGCCGGGCTGGTTCAGGATTTTTCTTACCGGTACGGGTCAGATAGTCCTGTAGGCGGTCTGGGTTGCCCAAGATGGGGCTTCTTGCAGATCTCATCTCACATAATCACACATATCCCTGTATATCTGTCCTCTGTAAAGTACAATGTATTCCTAAATATCTTTCCTATGTAATGTACAATGTATTCCTGTATATCTGTCCTATGTAATGTAAAATGTATTCCTGTATATCTGTCCTCTGTAAAGTACAATGTATTCCTGAATATCTGTCCTATGTAATGTACAATGTATACCTGTTATATGTCCTGTGTAATGTACAATGTATACCTGTATATCTGTTCTATATAATGTACAATATATACCTGTATATCTGTTTTATCATCCTGTGATGTTGAAATTGTATCTTCTTGAACATCTAATCCCTCTTCACTATCAGACTCCTAGATTTTATTCTAGTTATTATTCTACTCTACTCTACTCTACTCTACTCTACTCTACTCTACTCTACTCTACTCTACTCTACTCTACTCTACTCTCCTCTACTCTACTCTACTCTACTCTGCTCTACTCTACTCTACTCTACTCTACTCTACTCTACTCTACTCTACTCTACTCTACTCTACTCTACTCTACTCTACTCTACTCTACTCTACTGAACCTGTTTAAGATTAAGGAACTTATGAATCTGGAAGGAGAAAGAAGGAGTAGGTTTGGTTTGGCTGTGCAGTTTCTCATTAGAGAATATATTCTCAAAACTGAGAAAATTATAAATAATTTTAGTAACATTTTCTAATAACTGTAAATCGTAATAATCATGATGAGGGTAAAAATATTTCCATGAAAATATATCATTTTGTTAAGCACAAGCAAATAAAAAAAAGTTAAAATCTCAAACAGCAATAAACTAAATGAATTTTTTTTTAAAAACTACTCTAAAAATACATTTTTTTCTGGACCGGTTTTTTGCTTATAATTTGGTTGATTTTTAAGAGATCTTCATTTTTTAACCTGTTTGAATTAAGAGTTTCAAGACGCTATACTTGGATGTCTTTCATACAAAATGTTGACAACATTTTTAACAGACTCTTGTGTTTTAATCTTTACACAACAACGAAATGGGAATTGAAAAATGATCGAAAACTCACACAAAATTATGTCAAAGTTTTAATTTTTATGAAATCAAGCATCAACTATTGTTCTCTTATGTATTCATTGCTATTTGCATATCCTTTTTTGTAGCATGGCCATGACTGTTCTATAATTACCAATGTCTATGGGCATTTGAGGAACTTTGTAATTAGTTTAAGGTGGTTGACACTTCACAACATCTTCATGGTTATTTTTTATTATTAAGAACTCATGCACAGTGATTCAAAAATTGCAATTCTTAGAAAACTTTGCCAATTACTTCTTAAAAAATGAGTCTAAAAAGTACTTAAATTCTTAAAATGTACATGTTTAGGTCTCCAAAAAATATATTTCAGTAAGAGTGGTAAAATCAAATGCTAAGGCGTTGCGACACTTTAACGTCGATCCAGTCTTTTTAAAATGAATGCAACCAAATCTATCTGAAGCTGAACTATAAGCTGAAATGGAAACTAATTCTTTGAAAATTTCAAAAATCGTCCTAAGCTCGGCAGAAAACGACCTCTTGCATCGAACTGGTTAATCCTTGATTTGCAAAATGTATTCAATGTTATCCAGTTAGAGATAATTACAACACTTTTGTCAAACCTCTTATGGCACTGCAAACTTGAAGGAGAATTATGTTACATTACTTTGTGAGCTCGTAAGTCCAGTTTACTTTAGTTTCACGTGACGGTTATATTTAAATATTAGGTCCAGTTTACTTTAGTTTCACGTGACAGTTATATTTAATTATTAGGTCCAGTTTACTTTAGTCTCACATGACGGTTATATTTAAACATAAGGTCCAGTTTACTTTAGTTTCACGTGACGGTTATTTTTAAATATTAGGTCCAGTTTACTTTAGTTTCACGTGACGGTTATATTTAAATATTAGGTTCAGTTTACTTTAGTTTCACGTGACGGTTATATTTAAATAGTAGGTCCAGTTTACTTTAGTTTCATGTTGACGGTTATATTTAAATATTAGGTTCAGTTTACTTTAGTTTCACATGACAGTTATATTTAAATATTAGGAGTTTACTTTAGTTTCATGTGACGGTTATATTTAAATATTAGGTTCAGTTTACTTTAGTTTCACGTGATGGTTATATTTAAATATTAGGTCCAGTTTACTTTAGTTTCACGTGACGGTTATATTTAAATATTAGGTCCAGTTTACTTGTTGCATTTGTTGTTAGCTTTGGTTTTTAATAAGTAATTGGCAAAATTCTCATAAATTTTTTGCTTTAGAGCGTGATACCTTTAAATTACAGTGTATGGAGCTCTTTAAAACTGTTCCTGCATATTCATGGCTATTTATTAATTTTTGCAAACACTGAGATTTACGTAAAATAGTAAAAAAACCATTAAAAAATTGTCAAGAGACATTTGATAAATTCTTTCGATGTATAGCTCATTTAGGGTTTAACTGTACACGTACAACAACGGTTTTTATACAAATATTTTTCCACGACCTTTTTTTTGCACCTTAAAATTAAGAAATTGAAGTACAGGGTTTCCCAAAAAGGGTGAAATTTCAGAAACGATAGTACGGAACTTATCCATGTACTTTTTCTTACATTTTTGGTTTGCTTATGCAACATTAAACATATGAATATATTTGTCAATCCGATATTATATCGTCGACAGGATATATTCTAGTATTAGACCAATTTTAACCTTCATTAGTTTGAAAAAAATTTGTAAAATTTTGATAAAAATTTGAAAAAATTATTATTAATGTAAGTGAATTATAAAAAGGGAAATAGAAATGTTAAAAATTATTTATATTTTCCTGAAACTAGTCATGACCAATTATACAACGGGGTTCTCGTGTTAACTGACAATTCCCTCGGGAGCCAGGGAGCCAGAGGTCCCGAGAATTGGCTCTGTGACTCCCCCAGACACCATCCCGAGGTCAAACAAACCTCGGCCTCTCATTGGACAGCCTCACTGGCTCAAAGGACAAGTTCAGCCAATGAGAGACCGTGTTTGTGGCTGACAAGAGAAAATCAACCAATCAGAAGAGGAGTTAGTTAGCCAGGCTAAGCCCAACGACCAATGGAATTGGTTGCAAAACTGCCAAGTTTTTAGGAAAGTGATGGCACAAATTTTCATATTTTCCGAGAACAAAAAAAAAGCAATGGTATTAATTATGAATTTCCAAAATTATAAAAATAACTTTTAATTCTGGTAAATTTATAGAAAGGATGACATTTAAAAAATAGTAGAACAATAAACAATTATGGGATACATGACGATATCTTACGATTACTAAACAATAATATTGGAGATACTAGAATTAGAGCGCTAGCAGTATTTTTATTTTAGGACGCACTGAATGGGACACGAATACTTTTATTAGAACGTAAATCCAGGACACACTTCCAGGATATAATCCAGGACGCACTTCCAGGACACAGATCAAGGACACAGATCCAGATTTGACGCACGAGCTGTAAATATTATCAACTTTAAAAGGACTGTAGAGTGTAGAGTGTAGAGTGTAGAGTGTAGAGTGTAGAGTGTAGAGTGTAGAGAGTAGAGTGTAGAGTGTAGAGTGTAGAGTGTAGAGAGTAGAGTTTAGAGTGTAGAGTGTAGAGTGTAGAGTGTAGAGTGTAGAGTGTAGAGTGTAGAGTGTAGAGTGTAGAGTGTAGAGTATAGAGTGTAGAGTGTAGAGTGTAGAGTGTAGATGTATTTTCAAGTGATTCTTCATTTTTAAAAACTTTAAAATCTTTAAAAACTTTGTAGCAGATAAAGAATGAATGAGCTGATGTATACTTATATTTATGTAGAGAATCTACAATTGTAGAAAGCATAGAGGAATTTTTCAGATCGAATAAATACCTTTCAACATAGATCAGATAAAGACAGAAGGTTTTAACTAACACTAAACTAAACATAAGAAGAATAAGTTCAAGTTAAGCGACATTGTTGGTACGACTTTGGGACCTCGTAGCTCCTCTAGTTTGGATTTTAGACACAGTTATTAAAGTATAGGGTTTCCACGAAATGGCTAAATCTTTTGCGCAAAATTTGCGCTATTTTCGCAAAAGCGGAATAGGGCAATTTTGCGCGAAATGACTTTTGCGAATGATTGCGCAAATTGTTGTTTTTTCGCGCAAAATTGATGCGCAAAGAAAGAAAAATATTGCGTTTTGTTCCGCAAAAATTGCGCAAAAGTTTTGCGAATGGAAACCCTATTAAAGTACTACATAAGCAATATTTACTCTTTGCCACAAATTCTAATTTACTAATATATCTATATCTTTGCATCCCGTAGTGTACACCTTTTAATATTTCAAACTGATATTACTTGATGTAACAGAACATAGTTTGAAAAATCAAAGGTCTACGTTGACATTGGGTTGCAAAGATATAGGGATTTGAGTTTGTGACAACTATTCAATTTTTAGAGATACAAAACATTTTTGTTCTTCTAAATTGCTGTACAATAAAAGGAGTTGAAGTGTCGCAAAGCGTTGGGCTTTAATTTTACCGCTCTAATTTTTATAATCTTAGATATGTACATTTTAAGCTATAATGCTTTAGGTTTTAAGAAGTAATTAGCAAAATTCTAATCGAATTTTAGCTTGAGAGATTGCAACCTTTAAATCACAGTGACAAAAACAAAAATATAGTGCTTGGTACCCTCCTTTACTGTAAAACTTCCTGTTATTGGTTGACTTTCTAGCTGGAGGATTGAGTTCCCTGCTCTGATTGGCGTGAGGTTTGGGTTCTTTACTCCCATTGGTTGACTTACTGACATTCAGGGAGGTTATTGGCGGAGTTTAAACTCAAACCCCGCCTTGATTTTGTGCAAAATAATTCTAAAGGTTGGGGAGAATCCTTTTAGAGACACTTAGTTTGTAATAAAACTATGGATTATGTAAAGTCTCCGTTTTCAACCTGTTCGTTTGTTTGGATGTCCGATCATAACTCATGCACCCCGGACGATTTGCCTCAAATTGTGCACACCGTCGCGTACCTGGTTTCCACGCATGTAAGCTTTTATTTATATAATACTTAACAAATGTTTAACATGATCTTAATTTTTCTCAAATTCATTAACCATTGCCATTATTGAGAAAAAGTGCAAAATGTTCACCAATTAAAGGAAGAATTTTAGTATTTTATAGTATTTCATAATTTCGAATATTTAAGCATGTAAGGTTTTTTACGCTAGTTTTGACGGACTTTAAACGAAAATCACAATATAACTAAAAATATTTCAGAACAGACAGGATCTACTTCGTTGTAGTTAGTTTTACGTACCTATATACTTTTATGCACACAAGCAAAACATTTATTTGGTGACATACAATAAATTCAAAACATTTTAATTCTTCTTAAAGACCGTAAAAAATCCATTTAATTTCAAACAAATCATTCAGATATTACAACCTATAGTCATCGATTATCTTTCGCCACATTTGTATATAGTTTATATTTTATAATATTTTATTTTTTTTAGAAAACGTTTTAACTGATTTCGAAAAATGTGAGTGGTGTGCGGCATTCTTGATAGTTGCGCAAGCAATAAGAGAAATAATCAAATTCAAAACAAATTAATTAAAAAATATTATAAAATATAAACTATATACAAATGTGGCGAAAGATAATCG